ACACACCCTCATACCTACCCTCCCCGCAAGCCCCACATTCACGCCCTCGCAAAGACCCCACCACAAACCCCACACCCTCCACACACACCCACAGCCACATCCCCCACACCCCTTTACAAACTCCCCTCAAAACCCCACACTCATCCACACCCTTCACAAACTGTCCCATGCCCCTGCACAAACTCCCCTCAAAACCCCACACTCATCCACACCCCTTCACAAACACTCCCACCCCCTTCACAAACTCCCCTCAAAACCTCACACTCATCCACACCCCTTCACAAATTCTTCCACCACCCCCACAAATCACACACACGCAAAGACACCCCCCCATGCACAATATACAATAGTAAGACTTTTTGAGCTATTATGCAATTACCTCTATATACACTATGCAAACACAGGGAAATTGGGACACAAATATTTTTTGAAATAAAATTAAAATGTGTTATAGTAGATGTTTGATTTTTAGTATATGATTTTGGTTTTTTCTGCTTCCAGGATGGCAACCCCCCTCCCAAAAGGAATACTCCCAGGGGCAAGGGGGGACTTCAGGTGGCAAAGTTTAGGCGTTAGGGGTAACACTTCCAGTCCCAAGATGGTGATCGGGGTTGGGGCTTCTGTCAAGGGGCAGGGCTACCCTTGTGGCTCTCAACTGCTCACAAAAAGTTGTTAAGCGACCCTCCCACTGAAATAATTGCCCACTCCTGTTCTAGTCCATTACCAAGTTCACTGGTGCATATGACTGTAGGTATGTACAATGTTTTGTAATTATAAACTAAAATTTAAATTACTTAGCACCACTGCTGGCTCATTCGAACCTGAAAAATGTCCACAAGTCTGTGCTAACAATCCTCAAAGATCTTCAATGCAATGTCAACTCATAGAAGAACGAGAAAAACACAACCTTCCTAATACAGGACAAAGTGATACAACTACGACCGACTGTATTCTTACTCGGGTATATCCAAGTCAAACCTCACAATTTCAGGAGGGTCTCAAGAAAAACAACCAAGAAGCATTCTCATTCAAAGATGAACATCTACAAATGTGAGCTCTTTACCATGTGAATTGCAGGTTATTCAGTGCCGCTATGTCCAATATAATGTTTTGGTTTTGCAGTTTAGGTTTTGCAATTACCTGGCTTCTTTTAGTGTGGATTGCAAACACTGTATGTCAATATGTATACCTTGGAAACAAATGAAATAGTTACAAGTGATGCACCGATTTCTTTTCTAGTGCTAAAGGAAGAAAATGTTTAACCACAGAAAATATAAAATGTGAAATTGAATTAAGAAAACAGTGGCTGAGCTACTCTTGAGTTCCAAAAAAAAAAAAAGCAAGATACTGGAATGTCTGACATCTTTAGAGATGTAGCTCTTGCTTTTTCATGAATAGAAGCTGAAACTGCTAAGGATTCTGACGGTTTTGAATGTTCTTTTATGATAAATCCCACAATCCAAATGTATCAGTTGCAGAAGTATTCATTTTCGTGAAAAGTGCTCTCTCATACACTAGGATGACCTATTTTGTTATAAAAGAGTGGAAGTCTCCTGGTCTGTTCACTTTTAATACTTGTTACCTGCTGTCAGTATTGGTGATCCTGAACACTGTATTATGGAATGTTACTCTTGGGTTTGTTTGGGTCTCGTTTGTCAAGATGAATCATATACTTGGTCACCTAATATCATGGTGAATCTAATTAATATAAATCTCATTTGCCTATTTTCTATTGGCAGTTACTTCCTATGCACAATTTCAGGTTAAGTTTTGTGTTGGGGGGAGAAAGGATTTTTACTCTTCTCCATAGTTTACATTATAAATTATATATGGTTAAAGTTTTGTTTTTTTACTGTTCTCCATAGTATCATTAAATGTGATTTATATAACCTGAAAAACATGGGTTTTTTTCAGCCTTCTTTACTAATAGAGAGGTTGGGGACCAAAAGAAATTGCTTTGGTTCTAATTACAATTGATACATCATGTTTTTACCAACCATCTAATTTTATATTTGGTCTTGTAGATTCGGCCCCAGAACTGCTGTGTCTGATGACGCAGAGTAAGTTGTCTTGTGCTCACAGGGTTGCTTTTAAACAACTTACACTGCATGCTTTCCATATTCTCTACTAATATAATATGCCGTTTATGCATCATTAGTATTTTGCAGTCTTCTGGTAAATGTTTCAGATAAAACAGTTAAAGATGGAATGCAATATGCATTTCTATTTCAGCAAATAAATGTTTTGTAAAAATGCATGACACTATATACAGCTGCTGCTTTAGAAAGTTGGTATGTTCTTTTCTTCTTTTACACATGAGTTTGCACAATTTCTAATAAGTCAGTACTGAAGGAATTAGGTCTAGGCTAGATGTTGGGAAGGGGCAGAAATTGAGGAGTGAGCTGTGTAGTTTGGTAAAAAAAAATTAATTCCAAAGTAGTGTTAAATAAATTCATTTATTACCCTCAAATATTAATTGAAAAATTAAGCCCTAAATTACTTATTAGTTGCATCTTAAACCATTTTTTAAAAAATCTCTTTCAAGTGGACCTATTTTAATAAGGTATATAATTGAAGTGTTGGAATTTATGTAACTTGCATAGTTATGCAACAAAAGAAAAATCCTTCATTTTCAAGGTTTAAGTGAAAACAGTATCCCATCTTTTAATAAAAACAACCCCCAAACACATTTTTATGTATACAGAAATTAACATGACATTTACCCAAATTAAATACTGTTCTTCTGCCTGTAATGTCAAGATCTAAACACCACCTAACTTTAAAAACAAATATGTAGTACTGTCATGTATTTATGCTTTGAAGGCATTAAAGGAATGGTAGATTTATAAACTGAGTAGTCTCTGAATAATCTGTGACTTGAAAAATTGTGTGATTTTTTTTTTTTTTTCCTTTAAACTTTGTAGAAAAAAAATTCTCCTTTTGACCTCTGTAAAAGGGACAATTTTGAAGCCACAGTAAATTTCTACTCAAAACTATGCAGGAGGAAGGGTGAAAATGCAGGTGTCCTAAAAAGCTTTATTTAACATAGATTTAAGATGATCATGTTACTTAGGAATAGCAATGAAATGAATGAACTATGTTATCTATTTCAGATATATGCTGATAAAAACTTTATATGGCAGCAGCATCCATTCAGGGAATGCCATATTTCATAGAAACAGGTCTTTGCCAAGTTTATTTTTAAGAATTCTTATAAATTTGAATGTGTCCCTTCCAACTGAAAGCTACAGGTCTTTTAAAACAAGTACAAGATAGGTCTCGGAAGGAAAAGAAATAAAATCCTATGCATCCAAAAACAGCCTAAAAGCACTTTTCTATACATAAAAATGCAGCCCTTAAATTTCTCTGTCTTGGGACCTTTTTTCTCTTTCCCAGGGGGAAATTAGAGTTCCAGCTTCCAATGGCAGAAAATCACCTGTACCACTTACAGTAGTTAGTGAATATCAAAAGTTTTCCTTGCAATTGACCCCAGATGGCATATTTTCTGTCCTGGACCTCAGGATCCGCAGGATCTTTATCTTGGTGAAAAGGAGATCCTTATATCCTCCTCTAGTATTTTGTTTTCTAGAAGCCCTGTACAGAAAACAACCAGTAAATCTGTAAAGGTCTGTGCTTGCAGCTTGTTCTTACCTTCTCTGTGGGGACCTCCTTTGCATGGCAGAAAATCAGTTCCTGCTGATGGAGGCCATGTCTGCGTACCTCCTTGAGAGAGACTGGCAAGGTTTGTAGAGCTTTTGCAGGGGGCCATGGCCAGGGCTAGTGTCTCAGCCTATTGTGAATTTTCTGGACTCTGTGTCAGTTCTTCATCTCATTCTTTGAGCTAAGTGCCAGCATCTTTCTCACTGGAATGATTTTGATGTGAATATAACATGGCAATATTAATGGAATCTTGCTCTGCTTTAGGAGGAGCTACACAATATGCATCAATCCCACCACACATTGTCCCACTCCAGGTTCTTCCTGGAACCTTTCTTCTTCACCAGGTTTCTTCTGTATGTATAATTTCCCCCACCTCCACCAGGGAAATGTGGGGCCTGTTGCGGGGTGGGATTAGGGAAGATGTGCTTCTTTGTTCCTCTGTTGATTTCTGATGGCTTGTAGTAATCCTGGAATTGCCTGCATTGATGAGAGAGAGGAAAGGGGACAGAGAACAGTTTGATCTTGCAAACTCTTAAACTGTAAAGAGCAGGATAGCATATTTTCAAAGCAGAGGTGAAAGCCTTTTTATTTTAACTGTCTAGGCATAAAGCAATCTCTGTCCCATTATAGTATTTACATCAATGCTGCTGGCTATATCCAGCCCCAGTTTCGACTTCTCTGCCCTGTAAAAACAGGCTGTTGCATGACAGCCTAATGTTAATCTTGAGTTTAGTTTTACCTTGAGCTTGATGGACAAATTACAGTGAGCCGGCTGTACTTGTTTACTTGAATTTGACTCTTAGCAGGTTACCTCCTTGAATGTTTGTTTGTTTTTTGTTTCTTTTTTTTTTTTTTTTTAAGTCTTAGTGTGTCTATAAAACTATAATGTGGCCACAAAATGAGTATTTTGCATCCAGTTTTATAACAGATACTTTTTTTCTCTCTCTCAAAGTAGTTATTCACCAGGTTCTCATTTAAATGAACGCACAAGTTCTTAGAGCCTGTTTTACTAATCAGATGTAACCTGAGGTACATATTTCAGTTATTTTTATATTTATGGTATGTGTTCAGGCTTCCTTGAATTAAAAATAAAAAGTCCTCCACTTTGTGATAAAATTCACTAGAACAACTCTCAAGAAAATACCATTACTTGAAAATGATGTCAGTCATTTTCCCAAACCAGTAAAAAATGTCTGGTGTCTGGGGCAAACTCTGGAAGTACAACAGATATGCCAAAAGGGTTGGTCTGTCTATCCATGAATTCCTCACTTCAGAAGGAGTTTGGGCTTCAACCTACAAAATAGCTTTAGAGGTGGAAAATTTATTTAAAACAATACCACCACAATGTACTTCATTTTCATGGTCCAGTGTTCCATTTCTTTGTATTTGTCTTTCTCTACCCTGCTACTTTCTCTCCAGCACACACGTGTCTAGCAAACAGGGCTTAATATAGCTTTATTTAACAAATGGAAGACTTGATCCATCTTTTGCTTGAGAGATTGATATGTTTTTAAACTTGAACTGTTATGAGGAAACCTGCTAATGAGCATTTATAAATGTTGTGGAAAAAATGTCTTTGGACAATAGTCCTTTGTCCCAGTTCCTGTGTTCTGCATTTTTGTCAGGCCAAGAATTTAGACTAGTTGTTGTCCTGTTCCAGAGCAGAGAGGGAAGTAAATTGTTTCCCTTATACCTGGTTGGAAGTGTGAAGCTGTCAGCCAGAGCAGAGCACAGTACTTTGGGATAAGGCTCCTTCAGACTTCTCCCTCCAAAAGTATATGTGCATTGCAAGATGTGTTTGCCACCCAAGAGGATGACTGACTGAAATGGCTAATCACGAGATGCTTTTTATACGTTTTGAATGAGAATTCTTTTTTGTGTCTGCTTGGCTTGAGGAGCCTATGAAATCTATTTGAGCTATTAGCCACAGATTACAAATTTATATTATATAAGGACTTTGTTAGTAAGAGTTGAGGAATACCTGAAATCGAGGTCAGTCATTGGAGGTGACATTTTTTCCCATTTAAAAAAAATACAAAACAAAACCCTCAAAATACTCTAATTTGTAATTCCCCCTACTGCATGCCATCTTTTTTAGTAAAGAACAAAAACTTATAGATCCTTTAAGACCTCATCATTTTAATAGTCCTCCATTCCAAAGTAACAAAACCATTTAAGTTGCAAGGATGAAAGAATTGCAAACTAATGTCTTGACTCAGCAGTCTGGTATGCATTTTTAAAGTTAACCTATGTTATGCATAGTAATAATTTAGGCTTTCTGTACCTATTTAAAGATTACAGGTTAGGTGTTATCATGTATTTATGAAAAACTTCTGCTAGTGTGGCTGGCAATCAGGTGCATATCCATTCTGTGCCTTTTAAATAGAATTAAACCTTACAAGTTTTCTGTGAGAGTGTGTTTAATTTGCACCCTTGCTCTCCTGAATGAGCTAAGCCCACATATGCATACAACATACCACATTTATTGAATGTGACTACTGTTTACATTGTTACCTACCTTCCTAACTTTTATACTTTCATCTTGTGCTACTGCTGCTGATTGGCTCATCCAAGCTGGGCTGTTTGAATACTGCCATGGAATTAGCTCATGTAAAACTGCATGGCTGGCTTTTTTTTAATAGCATAACTGAGGCCATATTTTGCTGATAATAGGTACTACAAAAATAATGTACTTCATTACTTTCTTTATGCAACTGTCTTTTAAACAAATGTAATATGCTCTATATCTATGACCTTTCTCCTTTTAACCCTTGAAAGATCAAGAACAGGAATAAAATTTGCCTAAAGGAACTGTCACAGACCAGAACATGAATATTGTACAGTGTGTTTTTTCTTGGTTAGAATATGTATAATAATAGCTTGGTGTTGACAGCATTAAGGTTCTTCATTAAGAACCAAAGTAACGTGACCTTTTCACTGCATGCATTTCCCAGAGCAGGCTGTCACAGCTTACTTAACAATAGCATCTGACCCACAATGCTGCCCATGCTGTGCCTCTCAAACTTCTCTTGTTTTAAAATCAATTGAAATCCGGCTCTCTGCAGTAGTGCAAGGAATTAGAGGTATCCTGTCAAAATTGGTTGGGGAATATAGCTTCCCAAATTTCTACCTTTTGAATTGACTGTCAGTAAAGTATTTTAAGACATTTTATTCTTGGACTCTTTACCCTAACGATTCTGCTCAAGTGATTTATAGAAAGGCAGAGTTGCTGTCTAATGTTAAAAACGGGACAACTGAGAGATGTGGTGCTCATGTGCCTGCAGTGATACATGGAACTCATGCAGATATCAGTTAGTTGCTTTTGGAAACCTGCAAAAAAGATGTATTCTGATTTTTGTTCTAGCACCCTCATGTGGCCTACCTCCTAAAATTTAAAAAATGACAGCTAGAAAATAATGCTCTACTCATTTTTCCTGCTTTGTTTAGGAGTATGAGTATGTTTGACATGAGGTGTGACGATGAAGCAGTCATGCAGCCTCACAGCAAGGCTCGCCACGAGAAACTGCAGAATGTCCACAACCAACTGAAAGAGGATGAGACCAGATGGCAAGATGTGAGTACAAAGTAAGATTGTCGTGGGCTTTAAGTAGTCGCTGCTAAATCAGTTGAAGAATCTGCAATTCAGCTGGAGTTGGCTGATGTGAGTACTGCCTTGAGTAATTATGCTGATTTCAGCATATCCAGTCCCTGAAGCCCCAGTGCTTCAGGCCCTTTCAAGAAAGCTCTGGAAAGAGTTTGTAAGTGTACCAGCTTAGTAGAGAATTGGGCTAAAATAGTTCAGGCATGCCAGCATCTGTAGCCAGCCGCGTACAAGGACTAGCAACACCTCTGGCGGTGATCAGTTCCCCAACCTAAGTGACCAGGACCCAGCTACGTGTGAGTAGTACTCATTTTAGGAATAATGACTGTAGAATAATGAATGATTGAATAGCCTTTCGATTTTTTTTTTCTCCACTGAACTTAAGTACAGTAATTGATACAGTATTGTCCCAGTATAAAAAGCTATTTTTAACGATTCTAAAGAGTTTTCTTTAAACAGAAGTTCAGAAATACTTAATGAAAAAGTCAAAATTAAATGATAAAATTACAATTAGATTTATAACCAACAGAGTGATACTATGGTTAGTGTGAGATCTATGTGTTGTAAAAGTTTATATATGTTTGGGGTCATTGGACATTTTTTCTTTTATTTGAAAGTTTTTGGGACTCTTACTATTGAAATGAAAGGTGTCCTAACCCACTGTATATGCATTTCCAGAAATGCCTCTTGTTACTTTATACTCTGGCTCTAAAATCTCTTAAGAGCTATTATAAATCCCCTTATGCAAATGTCCTTGGCACCCTAAGAACAGCTTTATGGAGGGGATATTGTTTGTATTCATGGTGTGTGGTTCTTCATGATTTCACTTACTAGCATATGTCCAAGCAATAAGTTTGCTAACAATTAGCAGTTTCATATCTTGTGCTGCTTTTTTTTTTTTTTACCTTTGCTTCTTTAAAAAAAAATGGAAAGGAAAAAAGTGCATCCTTCTTTAATTGCAAAAATGGGAGGGAGTTTATGATGCGCAATCTGCTGATGGAAATTCTAATTTCTAATTAGAATTTCTAAACAATAGGCAGTAGTAGGACTATTTGAATAGGTAAATGTTTCCTTTCCTCATCAAGTATAATTAGTAACTGAGGGAAACTGAAGTAGAGGGTTTTATAGACTCATCCCCTTGAGTGTAACATTAGTAATGTGCATCTAAGCCAAATGAAAGTGACAATATTTCTTCCTATTTTTAGTTAAGTTGTTTTAATACTGTAAATTACATGTACGCTATCATCTACCAGTTACTGATGAAAACTCAGTGGAACCATTTAGAAAACTGCAGTAAATGAAATAGTTTAAATCAAGTGATGCTGTTTTTCTTTAAAACAAGAATTTGCTGAAGTACTTGGAATACATTCTGCATACTAATTTTGTAACATTGTTAAGCTAGTTGAAATGATAAATATGCCACCTCATACTTCCTGTTGTTTTAGTCTTATTTTTCTGCATAAAAACACTTCCATATTCATGCTATGAGTGTGAGTTTTATTTTTCTAAAGTTCAAATTTTAGCCTGTATTGTTTGGTTTTACAGTTTTGAAATATTTCTTCCTTACTGTTAAATCCAGACTAAGTACAAATCCGGTCCCCTAAGGCCTGAGTTTGTGAACTAGACAGGATGCAAGGAATATATGCCATATATTGTTTGGTGCTGCTTTTCACTCCAGCAGAAGTCTATTGGAGGGGGCAGGACTGGGGAAAGAAAGTGATCGAACAGGTCATTGGGTCTTCACAGATATGGATCCACCAGCCAGTCTGTGGATAAAGAATTTCCCAAACAGTGGAGCCTAGTATCCTGGTATAGGGGAGGGAAGAGCTAACACATTGCCAAGGAGGATTTCATCCCCTGGATCTGCCATGTTTTCTGTCTGACAATCTGCACTTTATATAATACCTGCTTACTTAATCTTGCTATAGGGACTAGAATTTACCACACATTTATTAGGGCTAAAAGTGTGTGCACTGACCAGGCCCTTTTGTTGCCTGGAGTTCCTATTGCTTTCAGCTAACACAGCACTGCAGCATCAAAGGCCATGTCGAGATAAGCACGGATGTTTGGATCCCCAGGGACAAATAGCAGCAGTGCACCTTGCACCACAGCAACGTGTCCCCAGGGAACACCTGTACCACATGTGCTTTGGCTGCAGCAAGTTGCTCCAGGAGCAGTAAGGAAGGCTGGGAGCAATACTGTGCTGGCCCCAGCAGCCTTGGCTGGGGTTCGGTGGGTCTCCTGGGGCTGCAGCAGTGCCGATCCTGCCAGGCAGAACCTGACTGGAAGTCACAGTGCAGCTCTGGGAACCCTGGTTCCACACTTCAGCAGTGTGTTCTGCCTGTGCGTGCACTGCTCTGGGGTTTTTTTTCCACGTTTTGTTGTTTTTGTTTTTTCTCCCCTGGATATCCAGGGGCCAAAAAAACTCCAGAAAAAACCCCCAGAGCAGCGCGTGCATGAGCAGCATGCCTTTGCAGTGTGGAGAACGCCTGACTGTGCGGTACATGACGCTGCAGAAGTGTTTGCGGTGCTACATACTGCACGGCTGTGCTAGTTAGGATGAGCCCAAGAAGTCCAAAACCTAATTAGCAAGGATATGAAAACTGCACTGAAATTCAGTAACAAAAAAAAGTCGAGCAACTTTTTAAAATTAAAATATTCTGCTTTGCTTTTTAAAATTTAGGACTGATACATTGGTGACCCTTGTGGTACATGAAATCAGCCTATAATTAGAGGGGCAAGGATTTCTTAGGATCAACTAAATAGGTGGGATAGAGTTAGACAAGCCTTTGCAGCAAACATTCTTCAGGCATTCTAACACAGTTTAAGCAGGCTTTTGGGGTCATCACCTATTTGACAGCACTGGGCACATCTACATGAGACACTAATGTGCAGTAGAATTAATCGCAGATGACACTAAGATGTGGGGAGAAGGGCACGCTAGAAGGGAGGGACAGGCTGCAATTGGATCTGGACAGGTTACGGGGTGGGCGGATGAGAATAAGATGGGATTCAATTCTAACAAGTGCAGGGTACTGCACCTAGGGAGAAAGAACCAGCAGCATAGCTACAGGCTGGGGAACTCCCTTCTCATCAGCACAGAGGCAGAAAAGGATCTTGGAGTCATTATAGACTCCAAGATGAACATGGGTCACCAATGTCGGGATGCAGTCGGGAAGGCTAACCGCACCTTGTCATGCATCCACAGATGCATCACGAACAAGTTCAAAGAGGTGGTCCTCCCCTTCTATGCGGCACTGGTCAGGCCACAGTTGAAGTACTGCATCCAGTTCTGGGTGCCACGCTTCAGGAGGGATGTGGACAACATGGAGAGGGTCCAGAGGAGGGCCACTTGCATGGTCAGGGAGCACCAGGGCAGGCCCTACGAGGAGAGGCTACAAGACCTGAACCTGTTCAGCCTCCACAAGAGAAGGCTGAGAGGGGATCTGGTGGCCGTCTATAAACTGGGCAAGGGAGACTAGCAGGCAGTGGGAGAGTTCCTGTTCCCCCGAACACTACTGGGAATAACGGCCATAAGTTGACAGAGAGTAGGTTCAGGCTAGGTATCAGGAAGCACTACTTCACAGTCAGGGCGGCTAGGATCTGGAACCAACTTCCAAGGGAAGTGGTGCTTGCTCCTACCTTGGGGGTCTTCAAAAGGTGGCTAGATAGACACCTTGCTGGGGTCATTTCACCCCAACATTCTTTCCTGCCCATGGCAGGGGGTTGGACTTGATGATCTGCTCGGGTCCCTTCTGATCCTACCAACTATGAAACTATAATCTACTGTGCATTAGTGTCACAAAAAAAATGTGCACCTGCAGTACTGCACAGTAGCTCTGGTTGCTGCTTATTCGGTTAGTACCTGTTATTAGAAGTACTAACCTGAATGAGTTGTAACCACAGCGCATTAATGAACGTGTGGACTTCCCCTGTTACTATTGTTAACACTCTGAACATGTACTGTATCTTATTTAGGATCTGGCACGGTGGAAAAGTCGCAGAAGAAGTGCTTCACAGGACCTAATAAAAAAAGAAGCAGAGAGGAAAAAGATGGAGAAATTATTGAGTGGTGATGGAGCAAGTGAACGAAGGAAAAGTATCAAGACCTACAGAGAGATTGTGGAGGAGAAGTAGGTTGTTCTACTAGAATGCAATTTAGTGTCTAAAAATACTGTGTGTTTCAGGTATGGTGTGTAGCTACTGCCATGTTTCTGATATGGGACACGAGCGGAAAAGGATGAACCAATTTTATAATGCATTGTGAATAATTTGTCCAAATTATTCCAGATCAGGCTCAGCCCACATTTGTAACTCTAGGTAACTGTGTATGGAGTTATAATTTCTCGTGTTCATCCCACACAGGGAGAGAAGAGAAAAAGAGCTACATGAAGCGTACAAGAATGCAAGGTCACATGAGGAGGCCGAAAATATCCTACAGCAGTACATTGAGAGATTCACCATTAGCGAAGCTGTCCTTGAGCATTTGCAGATGCCAAAAATTCTGGAAAGAAGCCATTCAGTGGAGCCAAATTCATCATCCCCACCTAAAGACCCAAATCCTCTGAGATACTTACGACAACAATCGCTGCCTGCTCCAAAATACACTGCCACCATTGAAGCAACCATTGTTCCCACCGGTGAATTGGAAGCCAGCATTTCAACAGGCCACACGTCTCCCAGCAAAACTGTTGTTTCCAAGCCTGTGCCTATGCTGACACCCAAGCCTTATTCACAACCCAAAAACACACAGCAGGTTTTAAAAAACTTTAAGGTAGGACATGCTGTATTATCCAAAAGCAATGTAAAGGGAAAAGAATCCTAACATAAATCATGTGAATTTATGCATAGAAGCACAATTTAGAATTAAGGAATTGGGGAACAACCTGGAATTGCCAGTCCTAAACTCTCAGAAAAATGAATTGCTAGCAATCTCAGGTTAGTCAATAACTAATAGATATTTTTGACATGAATCTTTCTGTGCCACAGGTCCGTATTTGTAAGATGGGGTAATATACTAACCCTTCAATTCACAGGGAGGAGGTGTATTAAAATTAATTTATGTTTATAAAACATTTCAAGACCATGATGATGAACACCATAGAAAAGACCATGAAAAAGTTAATAGTTTTGTCTTCAGAGCTGAATTTGAATGGTGTGTAGTAAATGAGGCATGAAACCTCTGAATGAACAACCAACAAATCCCTGAATAGCTGCTCATTATGTGTGCAAAAATCCTGTTGTCAAGAATTATGTGGTCATATAGTGTGACTGGATCATAATGTGTATGCGGAAGGGGGTTGAATTAAGGTTGCACAGATGATTTTCATTCTGGTGTTTCTGAGCTTTAGTGCTTGACTATGTAACATTAATGTTTTACTGTAACTTTCTTCATGGAATTAGAGAGACAGACTGCAAGAATTTGGTTTGGAAGTAGCATTGGATTTCTTAGAGTGTACGACAGCAGTTCCCAAACTCTGGGTCATGACCCCAAATGGGAGTCACAGAAACAGCAGATGGGGTCACAAGAAATAAAAATTACTTTAATCCAAGGGTGGGCAAATATGGCCTGCAGGCCAGATCCGTCCACCAGGCAATTTCATCTGGCCTGCAGGCACCTACAACTAATTGTACCTCACCCAGCCTGCACGCCTCGCTCCCACTTTCGTGCATGGAGGGACCTGGCCCATCCAGCATGCAGCTTCTGGGTGGGGTGGCTGCTGCTGCTACTGCTGCAGCTGCTGACGGACCTGCTCAGGTTCCCCAGCATCCCATTTGCTCTAGGCACCAGGTAGTGAAGTGGCGGGAGTGGACAAAGGGGGTGCTGCAGCTGGTCAGGGGAAGGGAGCATGGGGCTGGGGCTGGTGGCAGCATGGTGCCTCTGCCCAGAGGGGCTACAGGACAGTGGAGCTTGGGTGGGCAGGGAGTGGGTGTGAGGGAGAGTAGGAGGCTGTAGGGACCTCCCACACACACTTCTGCCCCAAAGCCCCCCCCATGGCGCACAGCCCTTGGTGGCAGTGGCAGCAGCAGGTGGTGAGTACTCAGGGCACTCATGGCCCACACAGGCACTGCCAGAAATCCAGAAAAAGTCTATATCACAAGGAGACTCAGCCAAAATGGCTAAATATTTAGTGCTGGGAGACATTAGTCAGTATGAAGCTTCTGGGTGAAAAGTGACCTAAAATCTGCAAGTCTTTGTTACTGTGGTAAATGATGGTTGAAATGAGACATTATCCCATTTTGTGTCAATGTGAAAATGAATGCTTTTGGGTACCAACAACCTCTTCAGTTCTGAACTAGCTCCCATTGAAATTAAGGGCAGTTCTTATGGACACGTACATATTTCCAGTGCTAACTGCAAGCTGCTTCATGCTGACTTACTGAAATATGAAACTAGTAATTCCTGTTTCTTTTTTAATTGATTTAACCTCTGACTTTTACCATTCCTACTGAGTGAGACCTGGATCTATCTTTGGTTGTTTTTCTAATTCTCATTCTTTTAGTTTTTGTCCATAAAATGAAAAAGGGGAAAAACAGTTATACATGGGCAAGCTCAGGGTTCAGTTGTTTACTTTAGGTGGGACCATGAAATCTATCTCAGTAAGAAGTATGCCAGAAAGAATTAAGTCATATACATTTTTTTTTTACCCTGTTTAAAACACAGATCTATTTATGATACTTTTCTTTAATGACAATGTGTTGACTTGCTCCAGTTCAGGAGGAGAGAAGGATGTTTGTTTAACTCTGCAGCCAGAGCATCTGTTCTGATAATTCAAACGTTTGCTTTCACTCCCTAATATAAATAGAGAAATGTCTTAGTCTAAACAGTGACATTTACAATGGATGGGTTTTAACTGTGCAGTATTTTTCTGGATTTTTTATTTTTTAAACTTTCATGACCTGTCTACTAGATAACACAACAGAGAATCCCAAGGGAGTTGTGGTTTTGAGACTTGCCAATGTTTGTATTCAGGATTAAGTTTTGTGAGTAATGATGAGTTGGGTAGATGATGTGGTTAGGGGAAGTACAGGAGTGATTTTACCTTGAGCAATAATAAGAGTGTTTGAAATGCATGCGCATATTATCTGTGCACAGGCTTGCTTTGGCTTATTTAAGACTCAGTTTTAAAATATGTCAGTCATCCTCAGGTCTTTCAGAGTTTGTGGTTCTCTGAATTGCCCTGATATGTAGAGCAGACCCTTGACCAGTCATAGGAACAGAAAAAGTCAGGTGGATGAGCAGTTTGCTCTTGACCAGGAATTGTTGTGTATAGCAAGCTGAACTTGTCATTAATAGGAAATTAAGTTGTCCATTACCAGTTGAATGGAGAAAAATGCATGGAAGAAGATGGGAAACTGTATGCAATTTACTTTAAAAGAATGTGCCAGTTTATTGCAAAGTCCTTTTCTCTGTTGTTTATGTCCTTGCTGAATGTCCTTATGTCCTTTATAATCTGCAACCTAATGTTCCAAGGAATAGCTTAAGTCTGAGCTTGTTCTTGCTTGCATTGTTATTTATGCAGTTCTTGCTGATTAGCCATTTAAAAACATTTCATATGTCCTATATAACATCTCGTATATGGCATCAGTCCATATAAGCTCTCTGCCAATAATTAATAGCCCATTGCCAGAAATCAAACTTTCCCCTCAAAAACCATTTTTTCCATGGACACCCCTTTCTCCATGGAAGTTCCCTATAAAGACATGCAAAGCCCAACTAAGTTGCCATCCTTCAAAACTCTTTCCTTAAAATTAATCTCAGCTGCCATATCTTTACCATCTCATCTACAGCTGTGAAATATGTGTACTGAGATGGCTACTGATTTCTTTAATTACAGTATCATGATATTGTTAGCCAGTGCTTTTCCTGTCTTTCTTTTGTATCCATCTGTTCTGTATTACTGTATTTAGATTGTAAGCTCTTTTGAGCAAGTGTCTTTGTTTGCATGTATTGTGACTTGCACAATGGGACTTTGGTCCAGGTTGGACTCTTTGATTCTATTGGGGATGCAGGTAGTGCTAATTTGATCCTCCTTCCCTAAATTCATTGGTTCAGACTGAGAAGCTCCAAACTCTGGGCGAAGGGAATGTTGGCTTGAACCAAATAAATAGTAAAATAAATATGCAACTTTTTTCTAATGTTTCTTTTAAGAGATATAATACCTATTATATATCAGACCATTTGCCCTTCTACAAAAGTGTGGCCCGTTAGGACTTCTTGTTTCCTATGCCATCATTTGACTCTGGAAGGGGAGGAAGGTTGCTGGCTTCTTCTCATATTGTGATCAGTAAGGCAACAAAACATTAAGCTAAGTCCTGCTGGTTTGGCTCCCTTAAACCGACTAAATTCCAGAACACACAATGCACTAATATTGTGGTGAGCTGTCTGATTACATAGCAGTTCATCAGTATAATTAGTAAGTGGTAAGCATCCTTGCCTCTCCTGATGCAAGACAAAACCAAAGTGTTTAGTACAGTATGCTTTGAAGAGTAGCGCTTCAAATTTTGTTGGTAGTTTTAAAATGTAATATGAAGCCACCTTGCCAAGCTGCTGTATCTGTTTAGAACTATTCCTATGATTGGGGGATTTTAGTGCATTTAAACATTGATTTGCAATTACTATCCTTCTTAAGAGTTACACACTTGTTCTTTGTGCTTTTGTTCAAGCTTCCCCATGTATAGTCTGTTCTACCTGTCCCAACTCTACCCTGAACTGCTACTCTAACTGTTATCCTCTTAAAAACCTGCTCTTGCTGCGATACCATCGAAGTGTGCTTATAATTCAATGGCAGAACAAAAGTATATCATCCTTTTCTGGATTTCCTTATTTATCTTGTCCTCTAAGTGTCTGTATTTTGACTGTAAATTATTTCTGGCAGGAACTGCCTCTAATTTTATGTACTGAATAATCCTAAATACATTACTAGTACTGTACAGATTATTATTTATTAATAAATACATGTCAACTTGATGTTTTTTGTTATTTCCTCAGCGTATTTATTTAACTGTGTTCTGCAGGTAGATGGAAAAGTCAGCATGAATGGGGAAACGTACAATGGAGTGGAAGAAGAGAAGGAAAAAGAATATACGACAGTAATGTTTGCCCCTTCGCCAAGTAAATCTCTCAAGTGTGAAGGTGTGGCCAGAGAGGACGGGCACCCTGTAGAGTTGAAGCAGGACATCACTAGCATTGAGCTCAGTTTACAAAGGCCTATTCCTCACAGGGCGCACAAAGAAACAACAGTAAGAGCAAAAGTGAATGCATCATCCTTACTTTCTCTGCCAGATTTCCTTCTCAATGCATTTCATCACTAAGTTAATGAAAACCAAGTGATTATATTTTGTTTTATGACAAGAGGATCAGCTCAGGACAAAGAAATTATACTTTTTAAGTATTTGCTGCCATGGAAAGGTAGAGGATTCAAGAACTTTTTGCAGTTGGCTTCTTGCTTGGGATGTCATGTAACTGATATGCATGCTTCAGATGTGCTGGCACATTTCACTGGGTCCAAGTGAGAAATTGACTCTGTCCCAGCTATTGTACAGGTTTTATTCAGTCCTTCTACTAATGTTAGCCGATTAGATCAACAACATAATTGGACTGTGTGAGCCATTATAATTAGTCTCAGTTTTCCACCTTCATACTAACAGATGTTAATATGCTGGCAGTTTTAGCATTCAAATATTCATCATTCCATTATCAGGAAATATTAGAAAAGGAGGCAAGTTATCAAAATACATGGGGTCACTGTGTTTCCTGGCCACCTTACCGTACAGACTTGTATTAATTTAACTTTTTATCCCTCTCACTCTCACTAGAGAGAGGCAGAAAAAACTGGAGCACATCACAGCGGGATTCAAACCAAAACCAAACAAAAAACAAAGCAAGCACTCTTCCAGGAAAAAGAAACATGAAGGGAAAGTGGATTTGGGTCTTTCTTACTATGTAACAAAATACAATGTCAGAAAAAGAAAATAAATTACAAAAGCCAGGAATGATAATGAAGTTTATTCCCTTTAAATCACAAGGTATTAGCTAGATAGGTAATTGTGTGAGTACTATTTCTAAGGATGTGTGACATTTTGCTGTTGCCCATAGAATATAGGCTCATTCTTGGTAACAGACCTACTTCTTCTGGCATGCATGCTGGGGGCTGCCAACCCCTGGTTTAGATTATGGTTGTATGGAATGGTTTGGATAGAGATGGCCCTGCCTCAGGCAAAGGGTTGAACTAGATGACCTGTGGAGGTCTCTTCAAGCCCTACTTCTCTGTGACTGTCATGGGACTGGTATGGAGTCAAGAATAAGTGACAGCAGGAAGGTAGGAAGATGGAAGTGTAGAGGGTGGTTGGGGAGTAGTAATGAAATGAACTTTACTTCAGAAGTTCATGGTTGCAGCTGACTTTGAATACACACTTGATTCTGCAGTTCTTGCAATTATAAATAATGAAAATAACCACAGAATTAACGTGATATGGAATCTTTGAGAGAATAAAATAGGCACCCACATGATACCATTTCTCGAGTTCTGACTCAGGATTTTGTGTAGTGTTGTAGTAAAGCAGTTCAGCTGATCTCTGGTGTACTCTACAAAAGTAGCAGATGTTGGATCAAGCTATACCACTTCATAGAGCAATATGATATGGGTTTTATGAGGGTCGGGGGATCCCATTCATGAGCTTACACAAATGTACCAATTTAGCCCCAGACATCCTTCTTCCAACAGAAGGAGTAACAGGAAAAGGAGAGCTTACATTGTACTGATAACAACCAGCAATTGAAAACTTGTTTGGGGGTTGCACTGTTTCTGCCCAAATATGGTTGTATGGAATGGATTGTTGAAAGATTTTGCAACAATAGTGCCTACAGTGGAAATGAACACAACTGAAGAGTACTAGAGAGGAACCTTTTCAGGTATTTCTAGAGCAGTAGCAGCCAGTATTTTTGGCAGGCACAAATTAGCCCTGTATCTTCCCCGAGTACCACTCAAGTCCCCTTCCCTGGCCAATCTGATGCTCTGCTTTCTACTTCCTGTCCTATGCTTCCTTCCTGATCTGCCACTCTGCTTTCTGCTTCCTGCTTTGTCTGCCACGGTGTTGCCTATACCTTCCCTGATCTCCTGTGTGCCAGGCACAAGCTCTTGGAGGCTCCAGGCTCTCGGAGTCACTCTAATTAAAGCACTGCCCCTTTTTCTCCCAGAGCATGTGTAAAAGTGCTATAAAGTGTCACGTAAAAAAGTGTGATTATGCTAATGTGCAGTAAAATAGGCTGCTGCTCATTAAGCATCACTTCAAACCATGCACATTCATTACTGCTCATTAAGGCAGCCTAATGTGCATTTCTTTCGTACCTCATATTAGAAGTACTAAATTTTAATGCACATTAGAAAAAGCACCTTTATGCATGTGTAGACATGCCCAATGACATCATTATATTTAAAGTGTCTGTTCCATGACTCTCAGTGAATGAGTGACTTGCCTGTAGTTCTTGTTAAGACTTCACAATGAAAAAGTAGGGGGGAAAAATCCTTGTCTAAACAGCAAGTCTCAAGAAAAAATCTGTTTGTTTTTTTTAATTAGTTAACTTTTTAACTTGTTGATTTCTCTTCATTCCTGCTTGGCGCATAGATGATTTTTTTTTTATCCAAGTAATGCTCGTTCTCTGTTGACTAAATTCAAGTTGTTGAACTCAGAGTAAGGAATGCTGTTTCTGGAGGTAGAACCAATAATTGGACTAGGTGCAGGAGAATGGCAATGAAATCCTGATTTGTATGATTCTTAGGGCCAGTATGAGACCATTCCTATAGAATTTACAGAATTGACAGCTAGCTGTGGAGGGAAATGTGTGAAATAGAAACAGCAGAACAAAGTTAATTAGGTAGAAGGGAAATACCCCTGTAGGAATTTGGTCATGAAACTGGGGTTAATGCCTTATTTTCACAAGGAATCCAAGGTGGTCCTTATTGGGGTGGATTAATGCATGAGCCCAGGGGCCCAGGCCCAGAGGCCTCTGTCAATTAGGGGCCTTCTGGGGTGCCACGAGCAGCATGGCCCAGGTGGGCATCCTGGCTGTGGGCATCGGGGGTGGGCAGCACACTCCTCCCTTTCAGCCAGGCTAGGTGTAGGTGCATGGCTCCCTGCAGGCTGCAGCAGCTTCCTGGGGCCATCTGCTGCCAGGAGGCCCTATGAATGGCCTTGCTTCTGCTCTCTGCTGTTTGCTATCTGGTGCCTGCAGGTGGCCACTGGGACAGGACGGGACAGCCCTGCCCTGCCCAGGTCAGCAGAGACGGGGAGAAGGGCAGGTAGCAAGCTGGCGGCAAAGCTTGTGCCTCCCCCCAAGCCGGCCCCAGCTCTGGCTCATCCTGCAGCCAGGGGGGACCGCAGCTCCAGCTGCATGACACACACCAGCAGAGAGGCCAGGGCCAGGACTGCTTTCACCTCAGCAACACTCATGCCCCCGAGCTTACTCTGGACACACTGAGGAGGCGGGCTCCCTGGCAGGCAAGGAGGGAACCTGCCCTCGCTTGGTGGGGGGGCCTCCAATTGTCTGTTTGCCCAGCACCCCAATAAATGTTAATCTGCCAGTGGTCCTTATCCACTAGTGATCAGGATTTTAACTTTACATCATATGAGAAAGTATACTTCCAGCAGATGGGGTCCTCTAGGATTGTTCTGTATGAATTTAAATGTGTAGAAACTTCCCAGTCAGCTGCTGACCCATGGTGGCTCTTGGCTTTAGTAGCTGATCTGACTACAACACTTACATGACTGCAGGCAAAAGAGTGATGACAGTAGTGTTGCAGTGGCATAATGTGCCACCATGCTTATGTCAGGCCCAGCTTATGTCACTGTTAGCTGCTCATTCTCAGACATCCAAACAAGTTGCTATGAGAAGCTTGTTTCAATTACAGTCCAAATTATGTATGGTTTTAAGGTTTGACTAAATTCCCAGCATTCCATTGGGAAAATCATTGTATGTTTAAAACTGTCATTGCAGGATGAAAGTATTTGAGCCAATATTAATCTTGTCAGTATTAATACATAGAGCAGCAAATTCATTTTGTTACTGAAAATTCAATTCAGTAAAAGCCATTACTTCCTAATTTTCTCTGTTGTATTTTTGTTGGCTTTAGCTGGATAGCTGTGTCACAAGGTTCACTGAACTGTCGCTGTTGTTATTTTAGCTTGTTAGGTGAAAGCAGAGGGCAGCAACTTACAGCGAGCCTGTGAAGCCATTTGATGTGGCCTGTGGATGTGGGGCTTCAGCAGCTGCATTGACCCAGTTCAAATCAGATGAAGGCAGGGATGCAGTGGGAAGGCAGGTGCTAGGACACAGGTGCCACCACCACCACTTTTCCCAGTGGCTGGACAATAGCAGAACCCAACACCATTGCTTTTCCCTGCAGTGGGATAGGACGAGTGTCTGCAGCCAGCACTTTCCCCCACAGCGGTGGTGGGGCTTCATCAGCAGTCACTTTCCTCTGCCACCATGGGGGTGAGTTCTGCCTGCGGATACTCTTTCCATGCTGCAATGGGGAAAAACAGCAGTGCTGAATGCTTTCCCTTTGCAGCCACAAGGAAAAGTGGTGGCAGTGGCTGGGTCTTACCTCTGTGCTCCAAACTGCCTCTGACCTGAAGCAGGTCAATCCAGCCCACAGCCTGGAAAGGTTGCTGACCCCTGGATAAAAGAAGTTTCAACTAATACATACGCATTAAAGATAAATAAATCTATATTCTCATTTTTTTTTCCATTTTCTGCCCTTCTAGTAGGTTAATTATATTCTCAGCTCAGTAATATTCTGTCCTAGATTTGGTTCTGAATTATCATTATTTTTTTCTTCTGTATTTTACAAACAGAAATCTGTTTGCCACAAGGGCAGGCTATTTGTGTGTGATCTGTATGGTCATAATTAAGTGGGCACAGACCCCAATCCTATTTAGCTAGGTACCTATATTATCTGTCAGGAAGAAAATGAATTAATTTATATTAGTCCCAAACTGGCATTCAATATCTGTACAACCAAACTTGCAAATCACTTCATGAAATGTATTATTTCAGATGGAGGAGTTGCTATGCTTTATTGCTGGTTCATTCATAATTAAACCAAAATATAAAATAACCTTTCATCACTGACCACAACTTATTGAACTAAATATTAGGAATAACTGCATCATTGTATGTATTTGAAAAGGAAGCATAAAAACAGTCTACCACTGAACAAAATTCACTGGCCCTTGAGAGATCTACAGGGACAGAACCAGCGTACTAAAAATCTGTTAGGATACATTTGCTTTTATATTAGCCTTTTTATTTCACCCATTCTATCCACACCTCCCATGGAAGGATTTTTTCTAGGGAATTTGTACAAAACGGTTGCCCAGTAGCCCCTCCTCTTACACATCTACAGTGAGCTGCTCTGTACTGTCCTGTTCAGCTTTGAGGCTGAATGGTAGCTCTTCCTCCTCAGCTACATTTGACTAAAGTTAAGATTTAAGAGATGCAGAGACCTTCACTGGGGCCCTCCACACCTGGGAGGTTTATCTATAAGTATGGATAAATACTATCATCTCATTTATAAACGTGAATGAGCATAAACATAAAGGCAAGCATAAATTCTCCAGAAAAATGTAATACCTTTCCAAAATATGCTCTATGGAGCTCTCTTTTTAGATGCAGTTGGATATGCTAGCATATTTCAAGAGCATTTGCATTTCAGAATAGTGACAATGTAAAGTGGTTTATGAAAAAAGTCATATTTAAGAATACATGCACTTTTTAATAGAGATTAATACAGATTATGTAGTAGAAAGGGAGGAGCATTATTTCTGTTGTTATAATATTTCTAATACAGCGTACAATGTATATATGAAAAAACTATGGTAATTTTATAAAATATTAAATTATATGGAATCCCAAAGGATTGGGATAAATGCAGGCTTTTTTCCTCCAGTGAACCTGACTACTAATGTTATTTTTCAATCTTGCCACTTAATTAGCAAAGATATTTAATTGCTCAGCAACTGAAAGGTGTTAAGTCTCATGAGCAACCAGATAACTTCTGCATTATGTCATTGCAAAATTCAATTTTCCTGCACCAAGTAGCTCATTTTTAATTCTCTATTTTAAGAGCTACCATATCTTAATATCTTGCTTAGAATGAAGAGATCTTCTCTGTCACCAAAATGTGCCTCTAACTTAAATATAGTGATTATGGGCAGAGCTAGCAGTGACACTTTTGACTGCAGAATACTTTTTGTTATAAGACCCTGTTTTCCGTTGCTTAATAAGTTGCCAGGGTTTAATAATTCCATTTGAAAATGTTTGTGCTGGGTGCCTGTCTCAAGCTGAAATACTTTTGGAAAGTTTCGGTTAACGGCTACTGCCAATCCATATTCCATTACCTCAACTGGTGGAGGTCTGTGCTTTGTCTCTAAAGGTTTAACTTTGCCAGTGAGCCATATTGCAGAGGTTCAGTTGCCCTGCATACATTTAGAACCTGCGGGAGCTGCCAGATTCAGGTGACTTTTGTAAGGAAGGAAGGATTCAAAATCTACCCTTAAAATAGAACAATGAAGTTAGAGGAAGTGACCAGGCTACTGCCCCATGGGCTGTCACTACTCAAGATGCAGAACTTGTTATGCCTCTGCTTCTTTACATGAGAATCCCACGAGAATCCTTCTCAAAGTTTCCTCGTGCAGCTTTCTAATTAGAGTACATAATAGACAAGTACTCCTGTTCAGGAAGATGGCTTTTGAAGTGATTTGGATTATTGGCTTATGGTTTTATCATATCTTTTCAAAGTATTTTTTACCTTTTGAAACTGATCATGTGTAATTCCAGTGAGGGAACAGAGGATTTGCACAGGGTAGGGATAAATAAAATGCTTTAGTCTTTGCCTTTTGTAAAATCAGACATTTTGGCAAATTCATTAACAAGCTTCAAATGCTTTGAGCAGGGGTTGAACTAAATTACTTTCTTAACCCCATTCCAACTCTGCTTTTCTGTGATTCTATAATAGGAGGTAGGTTACTCTAGATACATTAGCTAGAAAAATATAAAATGTAACTTAGTCAAATCCTTTACATCCTGGTAAAACATAAATTAATAAGTATTACAAAAACAGAATGAAATGTTCATTCCTCTCCAACTCTAGATATTCTCTAATTTTTATTTCATTTGTTTATTCAAAGTTAATATAAACAATAATAGATGGTGATGAACATTTAGAAGATGCATATTTAGGAGAGGAAGTTGACAGCTTAATAACTCAAAATTAAAGTAGCACATACTGTTCATGCTTTCAGTCTCCAGTCGTTTGTTTCCAGCTTGACTCAAAGAAATGTCAATTGAATGCATTACAAAGAGGAAGAAAGTACTATCCTCTGGAAATAAATACTGTTTGCTAGCTTTTTTATTTCTTTGAAACACTGCAATTGTTCTCAACAGGCCTCCTTAATAGAAGAAACTGAACCAGCCAACCAAAAATGTGAAACTGATTCTAGAAGGCCAGAAATCATGAATCTAGAGAATACTTCACCAGGTTTGTTGCTGCAAAACTGCTTTTGTCTGGTGACATCTCTTTCAGTTCCATTGTGTTGTGCATTTCTTTGTTACCACAGTGGTCAAGATAAGTGTCTTCACAGTGACATCTAGAGGTATCATGAGAAAATGCAAAGATTATATTTGGTTTAGATTTATTATATTGTTTTCAGATTTGCCTGATGCCTTTTATGCCTGTAACTTATTTATATGAATGATCAGCATGGAAGTGCAGTATCTAAAAACATGGAAAACTAAAATTAGTAGTAATGCAGTAACGATTCCAGTTTTTAAAAAAAATAGATGTATGTTCAAGACATTGAAAAAAGATAAAAGGGAATGTTTAGAAACTTTTGAAGCCAGTTTTGTCAGGGCTATATAAATAGAAGTATATAGAATCAATAGTGCTCCATGGACTTTTGACCTTACTCTATGGCCTGTCATATGATTCCTAATCAGGAAAAAGTAAAATGCTTGTAAAATTGATTTTATTTCAGTGTAAGTTAAAATTAATTTAAAAGTTACAATGCTATTTTCCCTCAGTCTGTTTTCTTAAAAAAAAAAAAAAAAAAAAAAAAAAAAAAAGACGACATTTGAGCATCTTCTGTTTACTGCTACTTCATAATAAAATGATGTTCCAGGTTTTAAAATGTGCCTATCAATTTATCTCTGTACATGTACATAAAAACATATGAGATGCTTGTCAGCAATTAGAGTATAAATATATGACTCCCGTCCTTCAGGCAAAAAGAAAGCCTTATTCTTTAAACATATTTTTAGAGATGGATTTTTAAAAATGCAATATTTATTTTAAAACTGGCCTATTAACTTCTACTTTTAACTTGAATTTAACACCTGTTATATGAACCATAGAAATTGCCTCCTTGAAAGAGTGTCTTTATTTGATTGCAGGGGGAATTTAAAAAATCTGGCATTTTAAATTCAAGGATGTTTTATATACAAAGGAATATGATAGTAGAGCTTTTTCACCATATCCTAAGAGTTAGCAGTTTAGAACTCCAATGGAAGAAGCATGTTTTGCCCTCCCTTGAAAACCCTCTGCCTCCAGCTCCTGTATTTTCCAATTCAGGGACTGTGAGTTAGTGCTTTTTTGCTCTCTTCAGCTGCTTTGGCCATACAAAGGGAGGGAAAGACCAAGACCAATGTTTCAATTAGGTAAACCACAGGATGGTAGTAGGTTATAAGTAAATATTGACATCTTTAATTGCATCAGCAGCCCTCCTAAAGTCTGCAGTGCACTGGAGCAATGCTTCAATAACTGCGCAAACAGAAGGCCCATTTCTGTACTAACAGAAGTTTTCAGTAGTAATCCAGTGAAATGTGTAGTTAGCCAGTCTAGAGGTCACAAAGGCCAAGTGTAACTGCCAAAGTCCACATATGAGAGAAAGATGGTCATACCAAGTATAATAGAAAAAAATGTTAAGACTTTGGGAGTGATATTCAAAATGATGTGCTGCCTTGAGGGATAAGCAACATCTCCCTGCTATATTCCCTACATCCTTTACCCAAACTACAAGCCTCAAGTTTGCCTTCTGGGAAATGAGCTTCAGCCATCATATTCCCATCTGTTCAAGTCTGTCTCTGAGCAAACCACTGGAAATCAAAGAAAGTGCACTATCTTGTTTTAGTAGAAAAAATAGGGAGACCTGGAGTGACATCCATTCCTCCTAGAGAGACAGGTGGCATTGCAGTATTAACTTCCTTGTTTGAAGGAATAAGTTCTGTTTGCCCTGACAAGATCGTTTAAGCACTAGTGATCAAGTGTTGGGTCCACCTACATAGTCAGTGCAATTTAAAAGGAGGGTTCAAGCTGAATTTTGTCTTAACTCGGCAGTGTTTACATAATTGGATTTTCTTTTAATTTTTGTTAATTTCAGAAGGAAGTAAATATTTGTGATTCCTGTGTGTGTATTAGGTTCAGACCATAATCAATTCAAGGCAACTGTTACTTGTGCCAGCCCTGCTATGATGAGTGTGGAGTTTCCTCCTCCTACCCAGTCCGAGGATGCTGCTTCAAAAGATAAAGACCTGAAGAAACCCGAGAGAGAACAGCAGAAAGAAGCAGAAGACCTGGTCACACGGGAGGTACAGAAAACCATTATGGAGAGAGAAGTGTAGGGAAGGACCTGACAGGCAATGCTTTCAGTGTGCTAACAATCTTAATGTTATCTAATAACAAAGTTAGGAGTTTGTTCATTGAAAGTCTGCTTTCAGTAATCCAAAAACAAGATTTTAAACTCTTCTTGAGCACCTGAAAGTGAAAAACTTTATTTAAAAAAACAAAGGGCATGTCTTGCAAAGGGTGAATATACTCACTGTTTTGAATCTTCCATAGCGTATATGATTGGCATAAGAGATGTTATGCCCATGGAAAATAGTGTAGCTTCACCGCACCCACTTCTTTCTCTAAATTCAGTGTCTGCGTGCCAGATTTGCAGGATACAACCCTTACAGGCAGATTCTGCTATCTTTATAATAGCAGAGAGTCCCTTTCCAGAAAGAATCCTCCACCCAAAGAGCAGACTGGAGAATCTGATCCATGGGCCTTATGTTTCTAGGTCTCTGCCACATGCTACATATATTATGCAATTAACTGGTTAATTGTACAATACATTTAGACCAGCCACACATGCAAAGTAATTAGCATAACAATTGTTTATCTATAAAAAGAGCCAACCAGCTACAAAGTTAGTGCTTGAAAATGTGTAACAACTGTATAGCTGGTTTTTATCGAGGTCTAATTTGAATATGTGGCAGGGCCCTAAGAGGAGGGAAACTAGTGTGTGCAAAGTATGTAAATGGAGAAGCTTGCTTTTAAAACTGCCTTGAAATGTGGAGTGACTACATATAGCTGAGGTGATAGTTGGCTTTGTGCTGAGGAAATGTACATCTATGTCAGTCCTAGAATAGTACGGTAAAACCCAGATGCTTTGCAGGGTTAAGTCCCTACCTCCCTGCGAAGATGACTGTTTGCAAATTAACTGGGGATTTACCTAGCCACGGCAGACTGCTCCACAGGACTGCTGAGGTGCTCTAGCTTTTTGCCGCAGCTTTTTATTTCAAAGGGTGCTGCTGCTTCAAGCAGTTGCATGAGACCATCAAGTTGCTCCAGATGAGTGGAGAAGCAATGCTGTTAGAAGTAAAAACAACTGGGTGTTTCTCCTAAATTTGGCAACCTGCTATGAATTGTTTTGAGAGCAATTTCAATTAAAATTATTTGGGTTCCACTGTGGCACCTTTAATATTCGGAAGACTTCTAGTATCACATGGGAGGCAGCAAAGAACCAAAAAAAGGTCTCCACAATTTAAATAGGACATTGCTTTGGTGCAAGTTTTCTAAGTTTTTGTTTTTCTCCTCAGTCTTAATAAAAAAAATAAGCTAAAAATTTCATGTGGTAGAACTAGACTTTCATCACATGCATAATATTTATACATTGTTGTCTGTTCCTAAATGTTTGGACAGATGGGGAAGCCAAAGACTCTAATACAAGAAGGAAGTATCATATTTCCATTTTTGAAGAAATTGCCTGAGACTAGCCAAGCTACTTTGCAGAATTCTGAGCAACAAGGTAAGCAAAAGAAAAGAGTATTTCTGTAGCTGCATAGAATGAAATTGGGCAGTAATTGAAAACTCGCTAGAGGGTAAAAAGAAAAATAACCTTATGTTGAATCTACAAATAAAATATAGGTCCTCTGAGCTGGAGTTTTTGAAAGGGAAATGATCATTTTTCAAGTTACAACTGAACAAGTACTGTTAGGACAGTGTTCTTTGGGCACTGTCAGTGATCTTAACTACTACCTCAAGAATATGGCACGCATCAGGAAGTCTAGCATGGTGTTATCTAATGAGTCTAATTTATGTATAGCTGATATTAAGTTAAAAGGTCTAATATGTTCAAGGCTATTATGTTTTCACAGTTTCATAGTTTCTAGGGTCGGAAGGGACCTGAGCAGATCATCTAGTCCGACCCCCTGCCATGGCAGGAAGAGCACTGGGGTCAAATGACCCCAGTAAGGTGGTCATCCAACCTCCTCTTAAAAACCCCCAGGGTGGGAGCCTGCACCACCTCACTTGGAAGCTGGTTCCAGACCCTAGCCGCCCTGACCGTGAAGTAGCGCCTCCTGATGTCCAACTTAAACCTTCCCTCCGCCAGCTTGTGACCATTGTTCCTGGTCACTCCTTGCGGCGCTCGGGGGAACAGGGACTCCCCCAGCGCCTGCTGATCCCCCCTAACCAGTTTATAACAGGCCACAAGATCCCCCCTCAGCCTTCTCTTTTGAAGGCTGAACAGGTTCAGGTCCTGCAACCTTTCCTCATAGGACCTACCCTGCTGTCCCTTGATCATACGAGTGGCCCTCCTCTGGACCCTCTCGATGCTGTCCACATCCCTCTTAAAGTGCGGCGCCCAGAACTGGACGCAGTACTCCAGCTGCGGCCTGACCAGTGCCGCATAGAGGGGGAGGATCACCTCCTTGGACCTGCTTGAGATGCATCTGTGGATGCACGACAAGGTGCAGTTGGCCTTCCTAGCCGCCTCCCCACATTGCCAACTCATGTTCATCCTGGAGTCAATAATGACTCCCAGATCCTTTTCCACCTCCGTGCTGACAAGAGGGGAGTTCCCCAGCCTGTATGTGTGGTGCCTATTGTTTTACCAGTACTGCTGCTTCAAGCTGAGAAATATGGCTTAGTAATTTGTTTTCGTGGCAATTAAATTTTTTGGAGCTAAATTCTGCTCTTAGCTGTTCATATGCAGCTGTCCTTACAGCTAACATGCCATGTATGTGCACAGAAACTAGAATAGAAACTAAAATTTATAAGACTTGGGAGATATTTCAGAAATGAAGTAACTCAAGTGTTTACTAAATAAGAAAGCAGCCCAGAAATCATGTAGGTGACTGGAGATATTTTTTATTCTTTCAGTTATGCTGAAATGCTTGATATGCTCTAGTGCACACAGAATGGTGCTGAAAGTCACCATGCAAAAAAAAATGTGAGTGAGTGAGTGAAAACCTAACAAACACTTTGAATTAAGAAAAGAGATTCAGGATCAGACTTCCTTAATTACATTCTAATGTGTTAGAGGTGTGTTGGGTAAAATTAGATGAAGTATATCCCAACAATGACTTTTAATTCTACTTCAATTTAGCTGGAAACCCTCTTAATGAGGATGATTCCGCTTTGAGCGGGGGGTTAAACTAAATGACCCCTTGAGATCCTTTCCAATCCTAATTTTTTTGAAGTTATTTCATTAGGAAACTGACTTTAACCTAGCTGTAACCTGCCTTTTAAGTGATTCATTTTATTAAAAAGCCCTTCTGTCACTTAAGTGAGTTCACATCTAGAAGGTGGACGATTTTCTTTTCATAGTGTTGTTTCTTGTTTCTATTTTGCCGCCTGCTCTAGAATCACCTACCTGTGCCAGTGTTCCGCTTAAGGTTCGGAACTCCTGGCGACGCTCACAATTTTTCTCCCGGTCAGGTAAATGATGCACGGAGAGTAGCTGCAACCTTTCCGCTGCCCTAAGTAGTAGGTGTCTTAAAATGTGGGCTGGGGTAAAAGCTAATGGTCACTGGTACTTATTTCCACTTTCTGCTTCCATAGAAAGTGCCTGTTCCTCTTGTACAGTTGGAAAAGAGCTGTTAAACTATACATGAATGTAATACTTTGGTTTCAGATACCAAAAGAATATTGTTTGCCTTTATATGTTTTCCTTTGCATCTGTTTTTTTAACAGTTTATTTCAAAGGCATTGGTTCTCTTGGTAACTGTGGCTCTTGAATAGTGTATAATTTTGGTGCCTGTTCCTTGGCTCTGCTTTTTCTTTCCCCACATTAAACAGCAAAAGATAAAAGTAAATTAAATCTGATAACACTCTATATCCAAGCACTGCTAATGCCTGTGGCCAAAAAGTAGCTGCCATTAGCTAGTGATAGATTAGATCCTGATCTTGATGCACTGCTGATTTCTAGCCGTATCAGAAATGCTTTTGCTGGTGAAGGGTGCAGGGTCTACTTTTCTGATCTATTTTATCACATATTTTCTTTGCAGTTGGTTGTGGGGCAAGTCTTGTTATTAAATTGCCCTGAAACCTTGTATCTTTTTCTGCAGATATGTTTTGATCTTTAGCTCACGTTAAGAAAAGGTATATTTGAGGGTTTTAATATTTGAGGAGTTAAGTTTAGTTTTTGTTTTCCAGCTGATTCTGCTAATGGAGACAAATCAAATGTAAGTAGTTTTTTTCATTATTCTGAATGTCAGAATATTAGTATAATCAGTATAAGAGGCAAGGATTTTTGTGAGTGATATATTTTAGTTGACTGTCTGCATTTTTGGGATAGACTTAGATAAGCTTTTGAATGCAGGGCATTCTTTTTCAGCATATGTTCAGTATAGAGATTTGCACTGGAAGTTTTTAAGAGGAGGGTGAATAGACATCTCCCAGGCGTCTCTCTGGTTTAGGTACAATAACACCTGCATCTGTGTCAGGGATATTGGATTAGACTCTTAAGGCCCTTTCCAGCCCTATGATTTAGTTGTTAAGTTTGCAACTAAAGCAAAGATAACTCTTTCTGTAAACCATCTCAAAGTACTGTCAAGCAGGAATGATGAAACTCAGTTCCTTTGACTGAAGGAAAATAACTATGACCCAAATACTTCACACCTTTAAACAAATATGGAGGCAAATTCTGTCTTCAATTAATTATTAATTAATTTTTACTAATATTAGTAAGATTACAGTGGTCTAAACTGGGAGTTGAGGTTTCTCCCTGTTAAGGAGAAATGTTATCATACAAGATTGTGATGCAGATAACCTTGGTCTTACAAAGGCTTAAGTAATGCTCAATTTTAACCCTGAGAATTCCCATTCATTTTGTGAGTGGGTCTGTGTGTCTTTCTGAACATTGCCTTGATTTAACTTGCATAGAAACTGCAATGCACAGGAAATGATTGTTAGGTGAAAATCCATTATCCCTCAAAGATACCTGTATATATTAAAACACAGTGTAGCCTGTATTCCTTATACTATTCGTAATGGAAAAGTGGACTGTCTCCTTTCCCATTTGAGGAAGTACCCAATATGTGGCTGTAGAAGAAGAGGATATCACGTGAAATGTCAACTGTAGGACTCAATTTCCTTTTTAAAGGAAATAAATATTTAATATCATATTATATGATATAATGGGTTCTTGATCTGATTAGGTCTTGTGTTTTGTCTCAGTATAAATAATATCATAAACCAAAACTTGTGTATTATTATTTTTGGCAGAGACATAAATATTTCATCTGTAGGAACAAATACAGTATTTATTTTGATGCTTGTGGCATTGGGACTATTCCAAGGGAGAATAAGGTGTTGGTGATTTTCTTTACTATGCTGATGTACTTTTGCATCAGCAACTGTAGAAAATGTCACAAGTTCTGCAGCTATTTTTATTATCTTTAGAATTTCTTCCAGTCCATACCTCTTTTTCCAATATTGTTTGACTGTTACTTGCTGTGGAGAAAAATAAATTGTTTTGCAAATACATTTGAACATGGTGCAAAAAAATAATTCCAAATTGATGAGGAAAATAAGAATAACTACCCGTAGTCAGCTAACCATAACTATAATAAATAATCTGAAATCTCCTTGTAGGTTAACTTTTTCATTTTGCTTGTTAGAGTAGGCAAAGTGACTGCATTGTGCAGCTTTTTACAATTGTATTGTAACATTTGTATATTCTAATAATCACATTCAATTTCTATAAGCATTTCAATTTCTGGTCCTGGGATCCAGAAGAGGAGCGAAAACGACAGGAAAGATGGCAGCATGAACAGGAACGTTTGCTTCAGGTACTGAGACTGCAAAATTTTTTCCCATTGTTGTTCAGTTGTATTTCATTTCAATCAGGCTTGTCCAACATGTGGCCCTCCAAGCTGTTTTCTGAGGCCTGAGGCACTGCGACAGGAAATGGAAGTAAACACTGTACTTTCGTTTTGCGGGGGTGATGTGATACCGCTTCCTGTGAGGTCTTTGAATATGACTCGCTGCTCCACTGGGTGATGAAAGTTCATGATCCAGCCCCACATTGAAAAAGGTTGGACACCCCTGATTTAGATTGTCATTTTCCTCATAACTTGAGCAGTTCAGGTCATTTTATGACACTGAAAATATTCAGATTTGAGTATGTAATATGAATCAAATAAGCTTAAATTGCTTGGATGAACATGGAGCTGGTTGTGAATTTTTCAACAGACCCTTTCTTCAGTAGAAACTTCTGATGTGTCAAAACTAAAACTTACTACAGAAACTTACCACAGAAATGTGAAAAGGAAATAATAGTGAAATTAGGCAGGCATTAAGACTGTGGTGATGGATAATAATATTTCGTAATAGATGAGAATGAATGAATTGTGGCTGTTTCTTGATTTTCATTTTTTTTATACTTGGTATATTTTTCTTTCTGCAATGTTTTCTATTCCAGAAATTAAGTCCTCCTCAGAATGCATCCCATAGCCTACATGGGGACCAAACTGAAAGTAAATCAATTTCTTAAGATGTTGCAAAGAAAGTTAGGTGGAAATGGTGTAACTTTGCCACTTCCCTGAAGGAAAAACAGGTCTGATGCCAAAGTATTTTAAATAGCTCTTCAAAAGATTATATTCTGATTCAGAACACACACAGGGCTGAGGGATTCTATTCTTAAGGAATAATCCCATCCAAGAAGAAAACAAACTACTCAGCTAATCATCATCTTATCCACTTCAGACTTTTATACATTGCCTATTTATCTTATAAGCCTACATGGGTTTTCATCTTTCATTAAATTGTACTGGCAGCATCTTACCTTTATCAGATTAGTGGCAAAGCTAATATCTACAAAGTCCAGTTAAATTCCTTCACTAGTTTAGCCAAATGATTAATGCAAAATCCATGTTTAAAATATACTGGACTGTTTTGGTAGCTTATAAGAACTCTACCTTAACAAAGTATGACTTTTTCTAAATTGCTGTAAACAAATTTCATGTCCAACAACTACTAACATTTGGAAACCTCTAACTAATCAAACTTTGTATTACATGTTAAATGTTCCTGGTGTTTTACAGTAAGGTTGAGAGTACTAAACAAAATGGGAGCCAAGGCATGGATGAGAATGTTGGGGATAGGGTGAGAAAAGAAATTTTCTGTCTTCAAGGGGTGTTTCAGGTTCTTATTCTCACATGGCATGCTGTATGTCTGATGAACAAGATTTCTACTTGTCCCCTTTCACTGATGCTTGGAATGTATCACAACGTTTAAATCCTAGCTGTCTGTTCTTCAGCTGAAGCAGACTGAATTCCCTATGCCGTATGAATTTTCCTGTTGAAATGATTGAGCTGAAATTCTTTATAGGAGCGGTACCAGAAAGAGCAAGACAAGCTGAAAGAAGAATGGGAAAAAGCTCAGAAAGAAGTTGAAGAGGAGGAGCGTAGATACTATGAGGAGGTAAAATGTGCCAAAACATCAAGTTCAGAAATAATTCTGCAGCTTCAGTACAGGGGAGTTTTACTTTTTTTTCCTTTTTTGCTCTTAGAAGGGCTGCTTGGGGCTGAATCTATAAAGGGACTTAAGTATTCACTACAGCATTTAGATGCCTAAGTCCAACATTTAGGCACCACTGAGATCCTCAGAGCTCTACTGAACTGCCAGGTAATCCTAAACATGGCTAAACTCTCTAGGACCTCAATGCCTCTAAATGCCTACATTTCTGCTTCTGAATATCCACAAAGCTGGCTTAGTCATAACAGCAGCATACAGTTCAGCATTCAAGTCATACCCAAGCTCTGGCAGGATTCTCCAGCTAGCTGTGGCCTGCCTTTCTGAACCACAAGGTCAGCTTCAGTAGGCATTTTCATGCAGTAGGTAGGGATAACCTACATTAGATACAACCAGATGAAGGGAATGCCCTTAGGCCCAATTAGTTGAGGGGCTAGAGTTCTCACCAAGAGATTGATGCTGGTTCAGATCTCTCCTTCTGAGTGTAATTGAAGCAAGAACTTGGATCCAGATTTCCCACCTCCCAAGCGAGTGCTTTAATAACTAGGTTATTTGGGGGGAGTGTCTTTCAGTTTATCCTGTTGAAACTGTTATATTTGCATAATATACTTAAATATTCATTGGGTCTGAAAGAGATGAAAAATGACTATAGCCTGCTGTTTTTAGTCCTTGGTCACCCAGTAATGGATTAGGGGGGAGCTGGTGTGGTTGCACTTGTTTGCTGCTGAGAGCTCTAGTCACAGCCACTTGGATACATGAAGTGCCACACATCCTCACCCTGCCCCTCCTCTCCTTTTAGTGTCCTGGACCTATTGCTACAGTAGCCCAATGATGAATGTGTTTGAGTAGTGGAAGATAGGGGTTCAAATACCAGCTCCAAAATAGGCAAAGGTGGAATTTGATCCGGGTCTCCTATGTTAATGCTGAGTGCTTTAGACACTGGACCTGAAAGACTGTCCACCATCACCTTCTCTTTCTACTTTTGGTGAAAAAAAAGTGGTTGGCATGGTTTGTTGCTGGACCAGTGGCTTTTGGAATGGGGCTTAAGCACTACCCCATACCCCCTTCCTCAGCATTTCCTACTTGCTTGCTACTGGCTTTTAAAGATCCTTTTCTTGTCTTAAGGCTGTGAGTTGCACAAGGCAACAGGGAGTTAAGAAATACATTACTCAGTATTGTGATTCCTACATCCCATCATGGATTTTATCTCTAGAAATAAGTCATCTGTGAGAGAACATCTTGACAGTGGAAAAGTTGGAATCTCACTGTTGTATAAATTAAAAAAAAAAGGATTGGTGTCCTTGTTTTTCCTGTGTGCCCATCTCCTCCTGTTTTACTACTCCAGTGAGCCTGGAAAAGCTTAGTTTCCTAAGTTATTGACACTGGTTATATGTTTCTAATAATCTTTTTGTGTATTCTTGTAGGTAATTTTAATATCCCATGGGCAGTGCTTGAATAGTATCATCTTCGTGATCTTGATGAGAAGCAAAATTGTAATGATGGTTAAGCATTACTTAAATAACATATGCTTACCTGCCAGGCAGTTTTCTAGGAAGACTGAGATATAGGGATTCAGGAAGGGGGAGGCAGAAAAACGGACTTTGGGCCACATTCCCAATATGAATCTATAGGTCAATGAATGTGCCTTTGCTAATTTACTACTCTCGTTATCTTGGTATTTGTAGTGATGTAATGAGATGCTTACAGAGAAAGCTGAGGGCAAACACAAGGTGGTAAACATTGAAAGGAATAATTTCAATTAATTCTATGCTAGTAGTAACTCTATTCCATTTAAAGAATGGATTAGAAAATAGGACACAAAAGATAGTGCTGTACCTGAGCTGGAATGATGTGTCCAGTTCTGGTCAACCTATCTCAAGAAAGATATGGTACAAGTAAAAGGGGATCAGAGACAGCAATTGAAAATAATTAGAGGCATGAAACAAATTTAAATTGAGAAAAGGATTTTCCCTAAGGATATAAAGCTCTGTATTACAACTCCTTGCCATTACATATTAAGCTTAGACTTGCATGCTGTGGACTTTTAAGGACTTTTAAGGATCAGATCGTTAACCTTAATCATTAGGCCGACATCTAGAAGCCTAATACTACTGTTTTTGATGTTTGTAACCTCCATTATTCTTTTTGAGAAGTATGATGTTTGACTCCTTCCTCTTCCACCCCCACATCTTCAACTAGGAGCGCAAAATAATTGAGGATACTGTAGTTCCATTCACCATTTCTTCAAGCTGTACAGAGCCCCTCTCTACTTCTTCCTCCATCACCGAAGGAAGTGGAATAACGGTGAGTTTCTTATGGAACTAGAGTCAGAACTAGGAGTTAGCTTTGCCTTTGCTAATGCGTTTTTGTTATCTTAGTATATAGAGTTAACTCATTCACTAGAGGATTTTAGCAGATGGATTAAGGAGAGAAAGGTAGTAAGCCATCTTAGTCTGGTGTCAGGCAGAAGACAAGGTAGAGGTACCTGACTAAGGTAGACCATGGTTTATATGCAGGAATGGTTTTCCTCGTAATTTCCAAGTTCAGTACCATCACATTAATTGTTTTAAGGAGGTTCTGACTAAATCCAAGGTAAATATCAGTAAGGTCAAATGCTTCTTCTCTTTCATATAATATAGTTTATTTGCTTTCACAATAATTTATTTAATGTATAATGGATTCAGTATGTTTGGGGATGGACTTTTGTTACTGCATATTCTGAACACGAGTTGAGGCAAAGATCCTCGATATTTCTCTTTTCTAGAATGTGACAGAATTGAGTAATTATCAAGAAGAAGACAAACAGAAAGAAGTTACAAGACAGAAGAAGACTCTTTGGGAGCAGGGTGATGCATCATCACTAAAAAACAAGGAGAATGACTTCTGGCAGGAAAAGAAGAGGTGAGGGTTAAGTCATGGAGTTTTTTAGGCAAATAGACCTATTTTTAGTGTTGCCATTGGGGTGCACGACAGAACTGTGATGTTGTATACCATGCTTAGATTGGGTGCATGCAGTTGCTCTGAGCTTCTCTTCCTAAGCACAACATGTTCACCCTCATCTGAAGTCAGGTTTCAGTGGGAGGAGTTGGAGGATGCAGGTGGCCAGGGCCTCAATGTTGCCTGCATGGCTTTACATGGCACTGCAAAGGAGCTGAATGAGCTTGCAGAAGAACCTGTGGGTGGGTGCTGCAGGACCTGCTGGTGTTGCTGTATCAGGAGCCTCAGGATGTGCAGATGGCAGGGATCCGTTTCAGTCTGGAAATGAAATTGACACGCCTTTGACAGTGGAAATTGACCAGGCATACTGTGTGTCTCCACTCCCAGCACAAGCAGAGGAAGTCACTGAGTAGATGTTGGTCCCTGGGCAGCCAGCCAGTTGGTGTCTTTCTCTGTACTTAGCAGTCCTCAGGAACCTCTGGAGATGGAAACCCCAACAAAGCATGCTGGAATCACTGCACACCTGCCCTCTGGCTGCAGAGCACTATAGTGCATGCTTTCCCCAAGATCTGTGGCTCCCCAGACAAATGGGCAAATCATCTGTCCTCCCCTTAGTGATTTTAGTGGTTTTGTACCAGTTCAATCTGGTGTAGAACAAGGTGTAGATTTTAAATAAAGATACTAAAGTTAGTGATGAAATAATGTATTAGGCATATTTCTGTATTTCTAGCCTTAACTACCAATCTTTTGAAGTCGAGCCAAACAATTGAGTGTAAAAATGTAGATTCACCTAAGAATCTGGTCTTCAACCTTGAATAACTATGGTTCTTAGTTAATGGCCCATCTGCAGATGAACCAAGATAAGCTCTTCTTTAAAACTTTTTCTTAAAACCTAGGGTAGAGGTCCTTTTTGCTAACAGGCTGGCAAGAAACCGGTCAGACTTCGGAATATATTAAATTTAAAATTCATTTATTTTTAGTGCAGATATTAAAATTAGCATATTGAGCTGAGTCAGAGCAGCCTCACCTGGCTGGGGGGTAGCCTTCCAGCCCAGAGCTGCTCCCTGCAGTTTAACGTGCTGTGGAGAGGCTGGCTGGGACACAAGAGTGCTTCAGTGTGGGCCTAGCTGGCAGACGCTTCCTGCACTAAAGCAGCCTCATGCCCCAGCCAGCCAGGGCAGTGTCTGCATATGCGCTGCTGTGGAGTTTTTTAGGCTGGAGTAAATAAGTTTACTCCAGCCTAATGGGGGCACACATGTAGATACACAACGTTTACAGAACAGCTAATTCATCTACTGCACAGTAAATATCTCATGTAGACGCACGTAGAATGTTGTATTTGTATATCCTGATTTCCCAGAATTAGATATTAGAAAGGGTCTCCCACTTATTTATGGCTACTTTGACAGTGAACCACAATGAAAATGCCCAGGCAGCTCATAAGAGCTCTACTGCTAAACTAACCAGATGGTTTGGCAAAGAACAGGTCCCAGCACTGGTAAGCCATTGCTTTCTCAAAGACACAGATTGCTGAACAGGATGAAAAGTTACTCAGAGAATATGATGGTAGCTGTTACTTTGTCCAAGAGGCTGTCTTCCTCACTGCTGCTACAGTAGTCCCTGTAGTGCCCTGTATGTGGCAGTATCTCAGGCTGGCAAGTAGAGTTAACCTAGAGTACCATCTCAGTTTTTTGTTAATACGTAATTATTACCCACATCAATATATCATTGCTAACAGTTACGAATGACATATTTGTCAAGCAAAGTAGGTCTACTTTCAAAAGCATAGTCATTAAATTATAGTTGGAACTCCTCCTAGATTTGTGTATATGGTGGGATTTGTTTGTGTTAGCAGCATAAATAAAGTGCTCGCAGGACATCCAGAGACCATTCTTCAGAGAGAAAGTGAGCCGGATCACCAGGTGTCCATGGTGGAATGCAGCTCATCCTCCAGACTGAATCTGCCATTAACTCATGGTAAGAATCAAAATTAATATTTCAGAGACCTCGAACATTGCTTGCATATTTCAGAAATCTTTTTCATGGAACTTTCATGGATTTGTAGAGTAATATCATAAAAAATCATCGTGAAATTAGATTGTTTCAAAATATGCAATTTTGCTACTGTTTATCACTTCAAGGGTCAAACTTTCCTTAGGTTTGAGGGATTTTTTGTTTTATTTTGTATTTTCTTTTAGTTGATTGTTTTTTGTAAAGTAAGATAAATAATTTTAGGTGAGATCTGGATCCTTGGTCTTACAAACCATGAAAGAACAAGCACTTAAGCTCCAGCCAAGAAGCTAAAATGTAAGACATATGCACAGTTCTATCTAAAGCAGCGATTCTTAACCAGGGTGCTGCGGCACCCTCGTGTGCTTTGAGATTCATTCAGCGGTGTGCCATAGGGTGCCATACAATGTTAGCACTGCTACGCATGCAGTCAGGATTAACAAGATAAACCCAGAGGTTTCAAATAGGAATCCATAGTATTAAAAACAGTCTGATCTGTTGTGGCCTTTCTGAGTTCTTTACAATAGAATTATTGCTCTATTATTTTTCCATAGAAAAATAAAAATGAAAACCAGGAGCCTGAACTTTCTAAGGGTGCCTTGAGCCTAACGAGGGATGCCTTGTATCTTAAAAGAAAAAAGAGAGAGAACCAATGTTCTAAAGGATATCCTTTCAGTATCTAGTAAAATTGCAAAAAATAGGTCAGTTCTCATTGGGGGATATGTTTTTGACTGTACACTCTGGGCCTCATCACCAACCTCACTAACGATTTGAAAACGTCTATTCTTATTCAAGAGCCATCATGTTTCCTTACCTTTGGAGTTCAGGGCTGTCTTCTGATTAAATTTTCCTGCCACACTTTCGAGTTCTTACAACTGGGAGGTGTTCAGCCCTAAGTCCTTTGTCTGGAAGCTGATAGACTCTTAATTGTTTTATAGGAGTCTGGGGCTCCAACCTCCCCTCATACCTCAGCCTTACACAACCTTGATGTTAATAATAGGTCTAGTCCAATGTCAATGAGACCACACGGTCTTTCACTACACAATAATAACAAACAAAAATATATAAATGAGCCCCCCTTAAGCGTAGTTCTTGTCGCTAGTTCAATGAGCAACTTTTACCCGAAGTCTTGCTGAAGTTACAAGGGATCTAAACTACCTGGTGCATTCAGTATTGCTTCTGCCTGGCTACTGCACTTTCCTAAATCTTCTTCAGTTCAGGTCCTTGAGTGTTCCGACACCATTTGAGTTCTGGCACCATTCACTAAGTCTACCACCTCTTGGAGTCTTGTTCCAGCCTCAGCTACCTAATATTGTACACGTCCCTTTTAGCCTTTAAAATGCTCTTACTGCTGATGGCACTATGCCCAACTACCCATGTGCCAAGTGCACAGTTATAATAGCACTGCCTGCCTATCCTTAAAGTGCTTTTAAGGAGGTAAAGTGCTTATGGCAAAGAAAAACTGTGTGTACTAGGAGATCACCAAACTAAACTCAAAGTCCATACCACTGGGCACCTTCTCTCTATTGAGCCCTTAATCCTCTGACAGACTGTAAACACAGAACCAATTCCACTCAGAATTTCTCACTTCAAGCCTCCCTGGAGCGTTCTCTTCGCTTCCCTCCTCCCGCAGGTAGTCTGTGTTGCCTCTCGCTCAGCATCTATATGCTCTCTGCTCACCTTTTCTCTCCCTCTCTCAAGCTGCTATTCTCTCCTCCTTTTATCCTTTGCGCCTGCCTGTGCGCAGGCTAGCTGCTTCCTAAAAAGGGGTTGAGGCATCGCCACGCGCTCCTTGCAGTAATGTACAGGCTGGTCTGAGCGTACGTGATCTCTGCCATTGTGGTACACTTGTTCCCCACCCCCTCTGACAGAGAAGGGTGTTCCCCACCCCCTCTGTTCTTCTTTTCCTTCACACTGACATTGCTACTTAAGCTTCTGATAAATCTCAAAAATTTTAAATTAATGCACTTTTCAGTGCAGTAAAAACTGCAAACAACCTGTCGTTGCATAACTAGCTGTTTTAAATAAAATAAAGGTTTAAATATCTAAAGGGAAATTAAAGTCAAAATCCTTTGAATATATGTCCTACGAATTCTGAGATTAATAGACATGGTTTCTTTAAATCTCAATAAGAGAGTTTTTGCTTAGAACTAAGTATTCTCCTTAAAGCATTTCAATCCAAACTTTGCCTGATCATATGAACTACATTGTGAACAAAAGTAAAATTGACCTTACTACCTTCATTATCTAATCTGAATGAAAAAGAAAAAATAAACAAGTAAAACATCAAATTTGCTTTTTGAAATTAAGTGTTTTATAACTTCTTTAGATTACTTCAAAACAGATTATTCCCCAAAACAAGTGAGAGAATGAGGTTAAATTATTTAAATACTTAACATATGTTTCCAAAAGTAAATTCAATTTATTAAGCGTGATGCTAGGCTTAGTTAATCATGTAGATTTATTCTACTTCCAGTACTTTGGTTAAAGTCATTTTAGCCACTGAAAATAGAAAATACACCATGAAGTAGGAACCAGCAGCACACTTGCACAATGGGGAACTCCCTACTTGAGAGCACGGAGGCAGAAAGAGATCTTGGAGTCATTATTGACTCCAAGATGAACATGGGCCGACAATGTGAGGTCATGGTTGGCAGGGCTAACC